TTTGTGTTACAGAGGAAGTTAGACCCCAGATGACCAGAATGATCCTTCTTGGAGCTGCAGCTGCCCAGTGATGCGTCCTGCAGATTGTTATGGTGTGTTTTTTCCACTAGCCTGACTGCAGGTGTCTGGGGTTGTACAGCAAGGAGTATATGGCAACGGAAAGTGAAAAATGTTTGGGATATGTTGCTGCAGCTGCTTGCTGGGTTGCTTGCTGGGAGTTGGCTCTACTATGGCAGGGCTCTGGCTGAAGCCATGGGTATTTGAGGCATGGTGGTCTTGCCTTGATCATCCTGGCACTCCTGATACTTGAATCATGCTCCATGGCTAGGATTTCCCCACATTCAAGATGTTATGATGTCTGCCAGTTCACTTAGGATAGCTGTAAGGCCAAGTCTCTAAGAGAAAGAGCTTTTAACCAAAATCCAATCTGTAAAATAACATGGTGCAGAAATAAATAGAGACATTTTAAAAAATCTCCAAGTGTTTGAGGAAGAGATGTGTTTAAAAGAATAACTCCATGTAGTAACTTTTTTTTTCCTCTGAAATTTGCTTCTTACTGGATTAATTAGTTAAAACAGGGATAGCCCAGTGTTACAGAGTTCACCTCTTATGAGTCAGACTGAAGTCTAGCTACTATTTCTTGGCTACCTTTATATAGCATGCCTGTGTTTGTCATCACTCCTCTCCATTTTCTAGTGTCAGAATGAATCATTTTAGGAATGTTTGTATCAGTTCTGTATGAAACCAGACAAGCTGCAGCTTACTGAGCTTCCAAGGTTCATATTTTCTTGACAGTTGGCAAAGTTGAAAACTTTTTATTTCTTTTGCCCTTTTTTATTTTTTTCCCTTTTACAGAAGGAAAAATACATTGGTTGTGTTTAGTTCTTCTCTTTTTTTCTCCTCACTTCTGCCTCTTTTCAAAACCTGCCAAGTCTCTAATGTCTTTCTCTTGGTCTGGGTAAAGGTTCATTGAGTCTGCAGCAAGGATGGACTGGTGAATCAGAGTGTGCAGTGCAGCTGGTTCACCGTGGCAGGCAGGAGCATGGAAACAGGGTCTCTGCACTGATTGCAGTCCCCGCCAGGATATTTGCAAATCCATATTAGGATCATATCATGGCTTTTTACTCAAAGTGAAAGACTTCTTTGAAGGAGTTTCCTTTTATGTAAACAAATCTTACAATGAGCTTTTTAATTCCCCCAATCAGACACTTTGTTCTTCCAGCTGTAGTACAGATCTTCTTTGTAATTTTGGTCACTGTTCAGGCCACCTACTGCAACACCAAATGCAGAGGTGATGTTTACTATGGTGCAGTTTTACTTGAGAGCAGTATCTCCACTGGAACTTGTAAGGACCTTTATTTGCAGAGCCACTGGGGGTATGTAGCTTGGGCATCCCTTTCATCTCCTTTCTTCTGATAACAGATATTCCTTGGTGTTATCCTGGTGCATGCATTTGCATTTCTGTGATAGTCAGTAATTACAACTTAACACCTCTGTAAAGAAGCTTCACAGTTCTTGTGGTAGAGGTGCACAGAAGAACTGGAAATATTTAGGAATTATCTTTCTATTTTCTTACTAGCTTGCTGATATCTCACCCCATTCCCTGCACACTAACACCTAAAAAGTGTTTTAAAATAGTGAATAGTGTTTAATAACATTAAAATAACTTCAGTAAGCTTTGTCTCACTTTTTGTTCTGGACAGGATTTTTGACTGCAGTGATGCAGCAGTGATGTTAAATATTCAGGGCACTCTAAGCTAGAAGCACAGATGTTCATAACATAGTTTTCAGTTGCTTTGTTTTGGGCTCTCATGCACAGATTTCTCCACTGCTCATCACTGTGAGCAGATTTTTGCCATGTCCTCCACTAACCCATGTCCCTAAGCACCACATCTGCATGTCCTTTGAACATTTCCAGGGATGGTGACTCCACCACTTCCTCAGACAGCCTGTTCCAATGCTTGACCGTTGTTTTGGTAAAGAAATTTTTCCTAACACCCCATCTAAATCTCTCCTGGGGCAACTGGAGCCCTTATACAGTGGGTGTAAAGTAGAACTGCTATGATCTAACAGTAATTAGTTTGCATTCATATAAAAGCAAGGCAGAGGACAACAGAGAACTGTGATCACAATATAAAATTGTCAAATAAAATATATTTCAAATATGTGTTAATCTAGTAGTGCATTACAAATTATTTAAATTATTCAGTTTATCTTGGCATAGAGATAGATAGTAGAGCTTAGGTTACTGGTGAATGTAATTAATTTAGTGGTTTATAAGAATAAAGTTCTCCAGAGATTGTTGCACAATCCCTGCATGATAACTTGCATTTGCGGTCCAAGTTAGCTTGAAGAAAAAAAAGGAAAAAAATATATGGAAAGTTGATTTTTTTTTGACAAGATGTAGAACAACCTGTATTCTCTAAATTTTGTCTACATATAAAATCCTGTAATATTGTTGAATGTGAAAATATATACAAAAATAGGCATTGTAAACTGAGGAAAGTATTCTGTCTTAATGCTAAGAACACATTTTGGTTTCTCTGAGGGTGTAAATCTGCACAGCTGTATTACATTTAACAGAATTTCGTTGGCTTCCAGTTGGTTTTCAAGAAGGGCCAAATGCTGGAAGATAACCTGATGAATGTAGACATTCATACCTGTAAAATCTTTCACTTTTTAAAGGTGTAGATCACTGAGGTTACAATAAGATTAACATTACTTCATGTTATTACAGTATCTGCAACACTTAATTTGTGCATCATAGCATTTTAATCAAATGAGTGCAGCAAACAAGTTTGAAATCTGTAAAGAATTACTGAAAAGCACTTCTGACCTTTAGTTTAATATTGTCTACTCTCCCTTCTCATTACAGACTGTCCATGTTAGTGATTTCCCTTTTTGGAAAGCAAGGCTGGTTTAGGAAAGAGGACCTAAGATAAAGTATTTTTCTTTTATTTTAAGATTGATTAATCTTTATAATTTTCCACTGGACAGTGTGCTGGGTGATAAAGGAAGAGTAGGGGTATGCATGTAGCCCTCAACATAGTAGAGTGGATTGTTTCTTAGGGCTCCCAGGTTAAAAGCAAACTAGTATGCAGGAGGTTTCATCTGGACCTAAGAGAAACCCCCCTTTTTCTCTGAGGGTGGCACAGGTTGCCTGGACAGGCTGTGGAGTCTCCATCCTTGGAGACATTGGAAGCACAATGGGACACTCCTGGGCCACCTGCTCCTGCAGACTCTGCTCTCTCAAGGGGATCAAAGTAGCCAGTCTGCACAGGTGCATTCTGGTCTCAGCTATCATACAATTCTGTGATTTCAATTTCATGAAGGTTGAATATATAAGAGAATGTTTTCATTGCACTTCATTACACATTCCCAGTGGTCTGTTAATAAATAACACAGGAAAATTTACCTACTTTCATGATTAAACTTCTGAAAAACTGTCTTTGAATATTTTTAAGCTGCTGGAATATATTCTCCCACAGTCTGTAAATAGCCACTGTTTAGAGTCTTAATTGTGTTTACAGAGATGAAAGAGGTAAAATAAGTGTTTTGTGTACTAAAAATATGTAAATACACATTTCGAAGTTGAAATTATAGGGATGTAAGAAAGTCTGAAAGTCAGAAGAATCCTGACTTTCCTGTGGAGATCATCAGCAGACTGTAAATAGCCACTGTTTAATTGTGTTTACAGAGATGAAAGAGGTAAAATAAGTGTTCTGTGTACTAAAAATATGTAAATACAAATTTTGAAGTTAAAATTATAGGGATGTAAGAAAGTCTGAAAGTCAGAAGAATCCTGACTTTCCTGTGGAGATCATCTGGTTCGACCTTCTGGTGCAAGGGCTGTGGATGAGGTTATTCAGTGTCGCGTGAAGCTGAATTAGCAGGAGAAATTGTACCGTTTCCCTGGCTGCCCATTCCATGATGCAGAACACTTTTCTTATATCCACATGAAATTTCCCCTGAAACAACTTGTACTCCTGGAAGAGATAGAACATCATATGTTGGGTATTGGTTTCATGATAGAGCTTGGATTGATCATTAGCAGGTTTTAAGAAAGGCATCAAAACTCAGGAGTAATATCTCTTATCAAAAGGAAACCAATGGTGTTGGTTTATAGAAGGAAAGTGAAGAATCTTTTCTTGAGTAATGTTGCTTGTTCTGTTTATGTGTGCATCATTTGGTGTACCTGCAAAAGCTGTCCAAGCAGTGCATTTGAAATGTCCCTCTAGCTAGCAAGGAGTGAAACTGTGGAGGGTCCTTAGTTTTTATTAAAAACAAACAAAAAAAAAAACCAAAAAAAAAAACTGTGGAGGTTTTTTTTTTTATTTAAAAACCTCCAGGAGGGTCCTGGAGGTTTTTAAATACCATGGTGTAGATAAGATTGTAAATTATAACATTCCTGTGTTGATAGTCACAATCAATAGCCCTGAAGTGAGGGCATATGTGTGAAGTGAAACAATGGTGTCTGCAATGTGATTTTTATGATATGCCATGGAATCTGGTGCTTTTCCTTTGCAAACTGTAAGGTCTTGTGAATTGCTTACAGTTTCCATTTAGCATCAGTTGCATGAGAATGGTCAGCTTTAATAAGTGGGCCTTGACATTCAAGAAGTAAAAGTCTCTTAAATGCCTTAAGAATGATGAAGCAGTTCCTGATTTTGAATGATGTGTAGTAGAGGAGTATTTCCCTTCTGTTGTTGGTATCCTTGCTGAGTACTGCTTAATGAAGTGTCTGTCCCAAATCACATCAGCAAGCAAGCATCCAGACTCCTTTGTGGCTAGAAGAGAGGGTTAAGTCTGAATCAATACTAGGCATTCTTGGCTTCCCCAGCTGTGTTGATGATAGGCTTGCTTCTTTAAGGGTACAGCTGCTGGTGTGGCTGTTTAGGAATTACCTATGTACACCAGGTTCTGTCTTAACAACTGTACTTTGTATGCATTTTTTTTTTCTGTTACTCAGAAGTGGTGCTTAATATATTTAATATTTTTAGTGCCCTACAGATACCAAAGCAACGTTTGGGGTCCACCTAAAAGTAGTAGGAGACTGGACAGGTATGTAGAAAACCAATTCCTTTTCAGAGACAAATGCCTTTGCTTAAACTGTTCTCACTTTCTGGCTTCAGCACAATTGTTCCTTGGCTGTGGTGCATTCTCACTAGAGATTGTTCATGCTTGTTTTCCCAAATTCGTTTTTATTGCATTCTTGTTGCAATCCCTGCTTTATTCAGACATACTATTTCTTCAAATAACATGTTTTTATGCTACTAACTGATCTTCTGATGGCACTGTAATAATTTTCAGTGTTCCTCCATTTCTACCTCTTTTTCTTGTTTTTGGGTAGCCTGCTATCCCTGTGCAGTGCAGTGCCTCTGTACATAGTAGTGTCTGCAGAAATACTGACATGTGCAGCTCCCAGATAAGCGGATTTTGGTACCAGCAGTTTGGATGGCAGCCAGGTTAATTAACGCCTGTGGTACACTGAGATTACAGGTTTGCTTTCATGTTCTTCCATGCTCTTCCATTGCTCTTTGAACGTCCTCCAGACCAGGGGTGTAAGCCAGGATTCCCTGCAGAGGAGTAGGGCAATTTGGTGCTCCCTGTGACAGTTGTATACTCAAGTGATAGTTGTCCTTATTCCGTAGTGTCTGACTTTGTTCTTGCTCAGCATAGCATTTCCTTGTAAGGAAAGCAGATACACAGCAGGGTCTGGTTCATTTCTTACAAAGAAATGTTCTCCATGTTAATTTGTATCAGCTTGTGTGTTTGTGGAATTGAGTCAAATGAGCTTGTCACCCTAAAAGGGATTAGACCAGTGCAGAGATAATAAGTCTATGCATATTTGTTGAACTTTCTAGTCTGGCTACATACTTGCCTCTGCAAGACTTCAATAGGCAAAGGCTGGGAGGGCAATGCCATATGCACATGTGTTCCATAATCCCCCTCATTTTCTCTCCTTGCTTGAAGTGTTGGCCAGACAGGGGCGGGTTAACCTCTGGTCTGCCTCAGAATGAGGGTTCTTTTGTTGGTAAGCATCTTTCCTACATGGGAGGTGACAGTAGGCTATTTAGAAAAGTGGGATGGAGAAGTACTAGCTAAATTATTTTTCCAAAATAAGTGGCATCTTTACAGTTTTCTGATTACCTCTGTGGTGTGAATTGCTCTCTTTAACATTTATGTATTATTCTCCCAAGTCAGCATCTATAGTCTCCACTGAAGGGAAGGTCTGCCTAGGTTGGACTATGTGACAGTCAGGACACTGTCAACATTACAGAGACTGTTTCTTGTAGTAGTTTTGCTAAACAGAGATATCTCTCCCAGTGTCAAATGTGCTGTCGAGAAGCAGACAGTTTACCCAGCCCTTGGTGCTGCATCAGTACCATGGAGCCCTGTTCTCACTCATTCCCTTAAGCTCTGTGACAATTAATAGTCTCTAATCTGCTGACTGTTGAGGAAGGATTATTATATTTGCCACGTTCTTTATTATCTTTCTTAAGCATGCTCTAAAGGCTGCTTCTGCAGACAGGATATTAGACTGGAGGAGTTTTTATGAGACATACTGTCATTTGAGCTCTTTTCATGACCTCTTCTCTCAGCCTTTATCCTATTTATTAAAATTCTCTTTTGTATCACCATCTCCCATTCCTGACAGTTTATACCTGACACCAAAGAGACTTGACAGTTTATTTCAGAGAACTCAATTACAAGCCTAAATTAAAAGAATGCAAGAGAGGTGCAGATATGCCATGAACTGCAGAGAGGAACTGATTAGTAGATTAGATTGAGGTATTTCTCCTCTGGATAACTTTAGCTTCTTTAGCTGCCTGCACCTGGGAGATGTGGTGAAGGAACATTTCCTGCCACTAGCTGCAAGGACAGGAGAGGGAGTACAGATTGCTGGCAAACCAGTTCTGCAGGTTGCTTCTGGTCAAGCCTCTTAACAATGTCTCTGACCGATATTTTGAAAATGTAATAGAATACCTTGTTTTGTAGGTTAGGAACGCAACTGCATGTCAGGAGAAAAGGGGCAATAGTATTTTCAGCTACTGATGAGAAGTTGCTGTTGATGAGAAGTTATTTATTGCCCGTATCCCATTGTGCATAATTTTAGATTTCAAATAAAATAAGCTGAAAGAAGCAGCTTTAGGAAAAGCCAGTCATTCTAGAAACAATGCTTTGCATAAGAGCCGATACTTAGTAGTTTTTCAGGCAGTACTGTTATTTGCTTTTTAAAATAAATTATTTAAATAATGGAAAGTGTAGGACAGAAAAAGTAGGTAAGAGAGGAAGAAGCTACAAAACCAGTAGCTCTGAGACCTTTGCAAACCAACTGGTAATCTAGACCCCCTGTTTCATGCTCCATTCAAACAAAGTGGTGCTGTCTGAGCTTAGAACAGCTGAGAATCTGTCCCTCTCAGAAGCAGATCTGGATGAAAACACAAATTTCATTTCCGTTATATAAGCACCCATATCCTTTTCTAGTACAAATCTGAGATCTCCTGTTTCTCACTCATGTTGTGGTGGTATTGATAACTGTATAGTGCTTGACTTTCATGTTCATTAGAGAAAACAGACACACAGGCACTGGTATTGCTGTAATGTGCCCTCAGATGCCCTTGGAGCACATATTTTCACCTGAAATTATTCCCTTAGCTCCCTTTGTAGACCTCTGACCTGTTCATATGTCTAGTTTAGGATAAGACATGCCAGGCTCCAAGCATGCCTTTTTCTCTTCATTCATTGTAAAGAGTATGTCTATATATCTATATATCTGTATCTATCTCACTGCCTCAGAGGTAGGTAGTTTAGTTCATTGGCTGTGATTTTTCCCATGTAAACTCTTCTAATTTGATTTTTCATTCCATATTTTGCCATGTGCTGTGGGTATTGTGAACAGGGGAAAAGCTATCACAGACCTTCTTAAAAATGGGTTTGTGATAATACAATTGCTGTCCTTGTGCTGACTTTGGAGCTGCTTAAGCCAGCACCTATTTTATTAACAGAACATTCCGTGGCACTGTGAAACCTGAGGCTGTGGAGCACGGCTTAGTTGGACGGTCAGGACTTGGGTGCCCAAGTTAGGGTGTGTTTACAGTGGCTGATCTGTGGTGGTTGCACACATGCAGGTTGGTTTAGCCCCGTGGTGCAGATCTGAGTCAGTCTGTCTTCCTCTGTGGCTTCCTCAAGCTGAGCTGGTTGGGTGTTTAAACCGTGCAGTAACGTTGAGGGTCCTGCAGTGGCTCATGCACGGGTCAGAGCTGTGAGATGCATAGATGAGCTAAAAAGCTGATCTTGTTACTGGGCATCCACTCTAAATACCTATTTTGTTCTGCTTCTCTTGTTACCTGTGTCCACCTATTTTTCCTTTAGCTTTGAAGTAATTGTTGGCTTAGTATTTACAACACAATTTTTTTCAAGGTTTTTTCTTGTCCCACTTAGTGTCTAGTTCATCCCCAGCATTGTCATCTATCAGCCTTAATGTCTCTTCTGTCCTTTCTGCTGCCTCAAGTACTACTGCTTGTTTAGTTTTGAAGCTGACATTTCATCTGGCACCTCTGGAGGGAAAAATAGAGGCCATGGGCCATGCCTCACATCCAACAGCTTGACAGCGGTGAAAAAAGACATGGCAGTGTATCAAGACAATGTGTCTCATTCACCAGACAAACTCGAGGGTGTGAGACAGAAAGTGATATTGATGATAGAGGAATAACAGGCTTCAGAAGCCATGTGGCGTGTTTTTGTGGAAAACAAATACACAGCACTCGGAGGTGTTGAGGTGAACTGCATGCCTTAGGGCAGTGAAACATTGCTGTTATGTTTCAGTGGTTGCTGGAGCAAACTGATGTAGCACCGTGTTTAGAACACTGATGCTGTTCTGTGCTCTGCAGTAATTTGTATAATTTTTATCTAGTAGTGACACCATCCTGCTGTGTAGTTGTGTATGTTCCTAGAGACATTTTCAAGGCTTGTTCTGAGCACCATGATATTTATTGTGGGTATGCCATAAGAGCACTTGAGTACTACTCATTGAATCTGAGAGTTCTGTCCTATAGGTTACTAAATGTCGTGGCAGAAGGAGGTGGTGATGTGTGCAGGAACTGTCCAGATAGAGCCAGAAAGACAGATTATGGAGCACTGATGTGCTTCACCCTAATAAACTCCAGATCTCATCTGAAAATATATATCTTTGCTTCATTTTTTTTGCTACAGATGAGGTTATGCCTGGTAACTGGGTCATTTAGGTGCAGGCGACCTTATTTTACAGGTGACATGGCATGATGGGAATTTTTGTCACGTATTGTCACAGTCCTTTTTCTGGAAGGTCCAACTTTGGAGCTGGAAGTTTCACGAGGGAAGAACAAACAAACCATTTTTCAGTTAAAAACATCAATTTTTCAAAACATGGCAAATGTATGAAAGGATTTTGTTTAATTCGCTATGAATTAAAAAAAGGGTCTTGTTTAATTCCCTGTGGAGTAAGACCTGAGACAGTAAACAGTACACACCCCAAATTACTTGTTTTTAAACAGAAAAACAAGTAAAAAGGTAGGGCAGTTCTTTGGGATTTTGGAGCCTGATTAAGGCTTTTTCTCATGTTGACCAGAAGAAGAAAATGACATACCTTTTAAGTGCCTGTGAAAGAAGAATGATCTGAACATTCTGGTGTGGAAGAGTTTGTCAGGAGTATCTGCATGACCATGTTAAGCTCCTGCAGCTCCTGATTTATGGGATGCCTGAAGCATCCCAGGGCTGTGCATTCCTGTGCTTACCTGGAACTTCTCATCAAGTGTATGGTCTAGCAAAGAGGCAATATTTTATGTTCAGTAACCATAAGAACAGTTTTAGATGTATTGAAGTAGGGGCTCACTCAGTCAGTATCTCCTGTATTGTTAGTGGATCTTGTTTCTGACTGGAGTCATGTGTGGAACAGAAGGTGACAAGAAGGAAAAACAAGACTACAAAGTCTGTCCACAGGAAGTGACAAGGTTGTCCCAGGTTTGCTGTAACTGCTACTCAGCTTCTTTAAAAATATCTACTCACTGGTGATGAACATT